CACAGCGCTGTTCAAACGATTAAGTATTTGAAGCAGGAAAACTTAAAAATTCTTGACCATCCTCCGTACAGTCCTGATCTAAGCCCTAATTTAATATTTCTTTACAATTTAAAATTTCTTAATAATTTAAAATATCTTTACATTCCCCTAAAATTAAGAAAAATCTTCGTGATCAAAAGTACCGATCCAGTGAAGAAGCAGTCGACGCTTTCAAAACAGCCATATTGAACACCCCTACTTTGAGGTACATAAGTTTTAACTGGTTCGAGCGAATGGAAAAGTGTATTAAGATACGTGGTGAATACTTTGTAAAACAATAATATTACTATAAGGTTCTAGTTGTGTTTTTTTGGTCAAACGACAAAACTTAAAAGGCATGCTTTGTATATTATTTATTAATTTTCTGTTATCTACGAATAGGATTTTATAGAAAACAAACGTATTCTTTTTTCCTATACCAAATTTGTATTTTTCCATGATCCTCATAAGACCCTCCATTACTTAGTTATCTATACTAAAATAGGAGACGCTGTGTAATTAGCCTTCGATTGTTCCTACGTGTTTGCTAACAAGTTTAAAGAAAACTAATAGCAGATGACCTTACGCCGGTCCGTTCGTGTTTGGAACGAGTCATTATGTTGTTCTGCTAATTTTCCTCTTTCATGCTCCGCCATGTGAAAGATTTTATTAAGATATTAATTTAGAAAATTATTTAATAAATGAAATTCTACACATTCACAGAAACAGTAAAGTAATAAGCGATCTAATTTAATAATATTGCCCATACTTGCAACTAACAAACAAACTGTGCTCTAACCTTCATACTTTAAACCGGAATACTGCAGATTAGCGGCAAAAATAAAAGGGTAAGATGATGGTTGTGGTAGTAATACCCAGATGAACTCATCAGAAAAGTACCTCTGCTGCCTAGTAACTTAATTAATTTTTTGTGGGTTCGTGTGATTCGGATAAACTCTTTTCCATAACAAAAAATAAAAAGCTAGGTAAAGCTGTTAAGGAAACCAAAAAAAAAAGGTTTATATTCTTATTTGAAATATAGTAGTATTGAGCTATAATCATCACATGACCGCAAGGATTCATTTACTATGGACATGTTTATTTGTACTTCCTCGTAATGTTTCACTTCCCACTGTTCAGTTACTCACTGCATAATTTATTAATTTTTATTGCGCAGTTGGTGTAGCGCTCGTTTCAAATACAACGGATATCTCAACTGAAACATCCTTAAACGGGCTAATTTGTGGAAAAATTAATAATGCTTGTGTTAGAATAACGTTCAGCCAATGCTGATTAACCTTTTTATTATGTTCAATATTGACTATCATGTAAGGTGTGCTTGTAGGTATTGTATATGATATTTTTATTATAGCAATATATATATATATATATATATATATATATATATATATTAATGAACTTTCCCCCCAATATCCCGTTCGTATTTCCACCCTCTATATCGTAGATAGTGTGTTGACCATACTGACGGTGTAAGAATAATATCACTATCCCATATCGCTATCGGGGGAAACAAACGAGGAAATGGGAAGCAGCATCTTCCTAATAACTACTAAAATATAAAAATACGGCAGTTGCCAACCCGCCTGCCAAACGTGGCAACTATGACAAATATGAGTCAATCTATGGGGGAGGACTCTGCTCAGCTCAGCTTAGCACTGGACTTCTCATAGGCTGTAAAGGCCAACTAACTAACGGTATAACCACATCTAACGTAGATTCTGTGTTTACATACAGGGGTTTAAATTTCGTATAGTATCACAATCTATAATAAATAATAATATTGTTATTTGACATAAATACGGGTATTACATCTGTGACAGATGATTTAAGTCGCATTTTGTCATCGGAGGTAATAACGTTCGCAGCTGTAAGGCGTACATTACACGCTCATGCACTGTCAGTTTTACAGCAATCACGGTTGTATTTGACGAATAACCCACCGTGTGATGCAGTGATTGACGTCTGCATGAGCACGTAATGTACGCCTGTGGCGTCAATCAATTCCATCAATCATGATTGATAAAAAACGGATGGTGACTGGTAGGCGTACATTACACGCTCATGCAGGCTGTCAGTTTTACATCAATCACGGTTGTATTTGACGAATAACCCACCGTGTTGCAGTGATTGACGTCTGCATGAGCACGTAATGTACGCCTGTGGCGTCAATCAATTCCATCAATCATGATTGATAAAAAACGGATGGTGACTGGTAGGCGTACATTACACGCTCATGCAGGCTGTCAGTTTCACAACGTAGTGATGTTATATACATATATGTGTATATATGTATATAATATCTGTTTCGTTAATCTCTTCAGTAGTAATTAAAATATTTCGTTTTAATTTGTGAAATATTAATAATGTTACGCGCTCAAGTCGACGATACACTAGCGCCATCTAGTGTCAGGAACGAGAGCGAGGGGAGCATTGAGAAAATAACATCACAAATCACTCAACCGACAGCGCCATCCGAAGAACTAAGTTTCTAGAAAATCTACACTCGCACACTCGTCCCTTTGCGCGCATTTACTTGAATATTCCGGATGCTTCTTTGCTAATTTATATAAATAGGCGCTACAAGATGCGATCGAGGAAGTATTGGAATTGGCGACACAAGCGAAGCTTCGGAGCGGAATAAAGTGAATTAGTGTGTTTAATTATTAGAGTTTTAAGTTTTAATTTGTGTAAAGTAAATTAAAGTGTTAATTTAGTGTAATTAAATTTATCGGCAATTTTTATTTGTCCCGAACAGCTGTAACAATAATGATAAACAGACAGAATATATATTTTATGTGTTGATCTTTTCTTTCACGTTTACGATAAACTGCTTCGAATTTTATGTTGTTAAAATTATAAAAAGGTCGATTAAGATAGGTCTACGTGTAAAATAGCCTTTATACCCGACTGTATAATATTCTACTAGTCCTACATACAAACAAAGCATTAGTTTCACCATCTGTGAATGTAAACAAAGGATAAGAAAGCTTAATAGTTTTATGAATGACTCTGCCGACTCAGTCGCAATATCCGCAAGGGATTTCTAGGAATCGGTCATAAATGGTTCCTAAAAACAAGTCGCTATACCCGAAATTGACGCTATAACCGAAGTCGCTATTACCGAATGAATTTCTTACGAAAGTATGCTTTAAATTCAAGGGACGTAAGTTTGACGTCGCTATAACCAAAAAGTCTTGTTTTGGATCGAAAGTACAATTTACCAGTGTAGTGGGGCTACTTTTCTGTCTATCAGTCCGTGAGGGTTGGTACAGCCCTCTTAGCTTTGTCTGCCACCTGGCAGTAGTTCTCCCACTGCTGTGTTTGGGTTTAACGGGTAAAAGAACCAGCATAATTATAGGTTGTGTGACTGGCATTACACCCAGTCCTCAGGGGTTCAGCTACGCATCTGGGTGGTACGGGTTTAACTTATAGTACGAATACAATAAGCAGGATTTCCTTTGTTTTATAATAGGGAAGTTAAAACGACCTTAAAGTCCACCTGATGGTATGTGGCTACTGCAGTACATGCATACTTGTTGCCAACATATTACAAAGAGAGCTACAAATTATTTGTTACCCCTGAGGACTGAGGACTGAGGTGAAATGCCCCACGCTACTCGTCATCGTCGGTATAGGTATTTTACATTTAGTATAAATTCGAGATGGTGACCGCCATCTATTTCCATCCACAAAATTCACTCAACACACTCACGCCACGTGATAAAATGGGTTAATACATTCTGATATACCGCTAACACACTACAATTTACATACCTAATTTAAATTTAATACTCCATTCTGTGATAAGGGTACGAGTTTTTCTATAAGTTTCACCGTTAAAAAATTTATCATATCTACATAATATGCTCTATACTATGTTATGTAACTACGTATAACTGATCGAAGACCACTGACCAGATTCATTTATATAAAGGTTTAATTTATTTTATATATTTTAAGAATATATATAAGTGATATATATATATATATATATATATATATATATATATATATATATATATATATATATATATCTATAATGGCTCACTGTGCTTTGTGGAATTATTTGGGATGTGGTGTGGTCACTGGGCAGGCTGCAATTTTATCAACTTGACATCAGAACATTACTAGGAACGGTCTTACGGTTTAACTTAGGCAATATAATACGAATAACCGGCACGTAATCGTATCTTTAAACTTATTACTTACACAATCACTGCAACGATTGTGTATGATAAACATAACTAGTGCGTGCTCCGAATATATAGTATGTGAACAAGGCTTCAAGATAAGAGTATGTATACAGCTGTTCATGGATACCTTATGCAATAAAATCATTCGTAGTTATATCTATATATTAATACGTGAAGAAAAACTTTGCACCCCTTTTTAAGAATATTGTGCGCACAGAGGAGTTTGAGATTTGCTATATAGTTAAAGTTTACTACTTTATAGTGGAGAAGGAGTCTAGAAAGCTGAAATTTCTGTATGGTATGTTTAATTAAACGTTCATTGTTTATACTGCCTATGTCAAACAGAATAGTGTGGTCATCCAGTCAGTATACAGTCTGTGGTAAACAATATAGGGAAGAAAATAAACGCGATAAAATCCGTAAAAGTAGTTTTAATCATGTATAGTGTTCGCGTAAATATAAGAAATCATTAAATATAGGGAAGAATTTAAGAGAGTGCACCTGTGCTTGTGTATACATTTGGGCACTATTTTTTTATAGAATATATTTTATAGAAATTTTTATCTTTACGTATTTCGACCACTTGGTGACCACTAGTTTGAAAAATTATGTAATTTGATAAGCTTGCAACCCACCCACCGGTATGCTCAGTGGCCCACAGACACTTACAGTCATTCTTGATGAAATATCTACGCTGGCTGTAAGACTGGACCGTGCCACTCTTTATTTGCCTTGCTTATTTTATTTACTATATTTCTTTTGCTGCAGCACTGCTTTTCGGAGAGCAGATAGGTGCGAAACAGGCGTCTGTGAATGGCATGGGTAACGGAGGTCGACATATCGGCTCTATTGACCCAGCGTGCGATGTAGTGGCTGTAGTGCGCGACGCATACGAAAACGCCCGTTTTCTTTGCGACCGGTATTATTTGGCCTCGCCCGAACTTGAATTGCTGCAGAATGGAGGTGAGTGCACTTGGTATACAAATAAACAGGTTGGAATAACTTTCAAGCGTCGATTAAATTTTATCATCAGCCCGTAAAAATCTCCTGCTGAACTGGACCTCTTAGTTTTTGGAAGGATTTTCCTTAATCGTCATAGGGCTCTCTATTATCAAGTTTAAATATTTTATGATATATACATATAAAAAGGAGTGGACACGGCGTCTAGGCAAACGTAGTGTGGAACGCCCCCTGACCGGATGGAGCGACGATCTAAGCAAGGCGGCTGGTAGAAACTGGATGCGTGTTGCCGAAGATCGAGCTAAGTGCGCTCCTTCAGAGAGGCCTATGTCCAGCAGTGGACTGCCGCAGGCTGGTGATGATAAAATGGGTTATTATAGTATAAATTAATACATGGTTGATAATAACCCCTGGGAATGAGGTGGTTGCTTCCTAGCTGTTTCTAAAATAACTTTTGTAAGTAGTTTGTAAAACGCGTGTTCTTATTGTATAATTTGCTTTGAAGTCCCGCTTAGTTTCTTGCTAGTTCTTCCCGAGACGGGTTTTTTCAAACTAGTAGTGAAAGTAAAAAATGACTCAATAAGAATTGCTTCTAATCTATATTGAATAAAAAAAATCTATTCTATTCTATTATTCAATTGTATGCGGCTAGGCGATTGCAGCACCAGAAGTGTCAGACCTTAACACTGCTCCTCGTTAACATTCTGCATATTCAATATCTGGCGTATATTTTACTATCTTTGTTGCATTCCCAATAGCCGATCTCTGACAGTCAAGAAACATATTGAGCTAATCGATTCTCTAATGGTGGCGCCATTTAACAATTAGGATCTAACGTGATAAAACCATACTGTAGCCAGTGGCGAAGCTAGAGCTCCAAGCTAGGGCAAGCCCAAGATATAAATTGATAAAAATATAGATTGTTGTTTTTGGCAGTTTTATAAAAATACACCAATCTTGATCTGTCTCCACGCTTTTCATATTCAGTGCTGTCAAGGACGTGTTTAACAAAGCACACAGAAGGCATACCACTGCTAGATAGATTGTATTACATATCAGCAATTGCATAGCTTCGGTGGCTTTGAAGAAAGCCGTTTGAGTTTGTTTAAGCGAAAGAAAAAAAATATTTACATCCAATATAATACATGAACAAAAGTAAAACACGAACATAGTACAAACAAACTATGTACAAAATTTAAAAAAAATATTTACATTCTAATGGATAAGAGATAAGATAAGATAAGTGGAATCGTCTCGCTTTCTTATGGAAAGATTTAATTACGTCCACGTAAAATGTTGGTGAAAGTTTTAATTGTACCAATAACTGTTTTTAATTGCGATAATTGATAAGTCTGAAATACACTCTTAACCTTGTGTATTATCTCAACAAAGTTTAAAGATTTCCTCTCCGATCATCACTTTAACACGCTTCAATTCATCACAAGGAACACTATTATCCTCCATTTTCATTAAAAATCTTTAAAAAAGCATAAATTTTGAACTCGTAATATTAAATCGCTTAAGATAAGCACACAGAGTAAATAAACATTGAAACGTGAAATGAACTTGCAAACGTATTGCCCGCGCGCCTCCGCTTTTAACAAATGTATTCCCAAAAGCCTGGCTTTAAATCTCTTTACTAATTGCTATATATACAATCGTAGTTATATTTCATTATAGAATATTTTGCCATAGGTTAGAAAGAGAGCGATCGTCTTCTCGAAAGCCCCGTAAAAAGCCCCCGCGAGCGAGGGAGACAACTATTAGCTCTATTAAAGCTCATTTTTTATGACAGCAGCAGTATCGCTAAGGCAATACGAGGTCATCGGTCGACATGTGTCGAACAGTGGAGTGCGCGGGAAATTTGAAATAGCTTGAAACATTTTACGAGTTATTTTATTAATTGATATTATTGATTGATTCAGGTTTAATAAGGCAAGCCCGGCTTTTCGGCTTTAATGGAAGCTTCGCCACTGACTGTAGCTATATTTTGGTTGTAGCACGGATGGGTCAGCTCGACCGGGAAGGGACCACGCTTTCACAGAATACCATAAAATAACAGCTCAATGCTGCTATGTTTTATATGGTAAGTGTAGAGAACTGGAGACTTATTTTACCGGAAACCAGGCATTCCATCTTAGTTCTTAGAAATGGCAACGCATTGTGGATAAATGTAGATAGATGTCTATGGGCCGCAGCATCCACTTACCATCAGGTAACTCAGGGAACTGTGTACTCGTTTATCACTCATATTCTATATAAAAAAATGATGTTAAAGTATTATTTTGTATTTAGCGTCTTTTTAATTTAGAAGCGATTTTTCAGTTGCAAGCGACAGGCCGATGCCGATAGTGTACGTGCCGTCGCATCTCTACCACATGCTGTTCGAGTTGTTCAAGAATGCGATGCGAGCGGTCATGGAGACCCACGAGAACGCACCGCCTCCGATTCAAGTTAACTTGGTGAACGGCAAGGAGGATGTCTCCGTTAAGGTAATAGTGGCTTATTATTTTCAATGTGAATACATATTACTGGTCAGACTAACCCAGGAGTCTCCAAGGCCACTTTCTAAAGGCCACAGTTACACATCAGTTGATTTGATTGTAATCTTGTATCACTGCTGACTCCACTGGCTGTAGTTTAGAGACTATATAAAATTTCTAATAGGAATTTGAGATTTTATTCAATTAGTAAGGGTGACACAATCTCACAATCCACTGGATGATAAGGGAATACTGTAGCCTATAGTCTATTCTTGACTTAGAAACTCGTCACTTCTTAGGTTTAATTCTACGCACTCCAGGTTCCTAAATACAAAGATTCCTCGCCTTCTCTTTCGGTTTCTGGCATTCTGGGGTTGTGTATTGCCGATACAGGGACGTGCCCAAGAAGAAAGTTTCCTAAATACTGTTTATGTTTTATATATATTTTTAAGGTTGGGGTATATATTGATATGGGCTAAAGTTCTTAACTTTTATGTCCTTGATGCCTGAAATAAAGATATTGTATTACGACTAAGATCGAATGCCTCGTTACCAGTAAAGAGGAACTACGCTTCTCATCACTCACATACGCACCATAGCAGTATTATGTTTCTCCTTAAATATAATGAAAATTCCTTTTGTCAAGGCTTTTTGTGAGCTTCTTTTGATCGATGGTATCCTCTTATTAATGGTTCCCAATTTATGTAACATCTTAATGGTATTTTGGAAAATGAAAAGGAAATGACCCATCACAAAGTAATGAGTGAGTTCTTTAATTAAAAGAACATTATGACATTGATTAAAACTACTTTTACGGATTTTATGGATTCAATTACTTTTATTTTTAATTCCCGACGTTTCGGGCGCTTTCCAGCACCCATGGTCACGGGGGACCATAAATATATCCCCCGTAAATCCATAATCCATAAATCCGTAAAAGTAGTTTTAATCAATGTGTAGTGTTCGCGTAAATATAAGAAATTATTATGAGAACATTATGAATTAAAATAAATCTCGGATGTGCATGGCAAGCCAGAGCAAACAAGTCTCTTTAGGCAGCGCTATTCGCAATATCTAATCTAATATATAAAAATTAATGTGTGTTTGTTCTTATTTTCTGCGCCACCATATCGTTTATCACATTGCGGTAAAACTTTGTCAACGTATTGCTTGCACTTGCGCGTAGGTTATAGGCATAGTACAATTAACTTACAGTGGGTGGCGTGCGTATAGTACCGACAAATTTATTTGAAAGTATATATTATTTGACTTCAATGAACGTAATATTATCATTCCAAATTAAACAATATAATTGTTCCTAATTTAAAACGATATTTTCACAATTATTTCTTCCGCGGCTACCAGCTAGTAGCAATATAATTGAGAAGATATACATTTCCGAGAAAACTTGATGCATGTTGAGGTTCACTGAGCGTAGCCGCACGAGGTAACGTAACGACTTTGCAAAGCGTCCCCTCGGCTACGAGTTTACAGACAGTACTAGCACTTGGGTCGGTGTAAACTAGCCTTTACAGCCTGTTTGTGAAAGGACACGTTTAAAATCAAAGATTTAAAAAAAAAACGATAAAATAAAATAAAACAAACTTCGGTTCGGAACTAACGTAATTACGTTGCTTGCCAATAAGTCTGAAATTCGTTGTATTATTCTCAGATGGTCATCGTAGACGTGGTCCTTCACAACTGGCCGTATGAGAAAACTCAAGGTTTCTCAGCGAACTATAGAGTGGGCTATGCTCGGAGTTTCTTTGTGTGCTAGACTTTGTCATATAAAGGATATCCGCAGTAGGCTCCTCGTTGGTCTAGTGGTTGTAGTAGTGCGACTGCTGATCATGAGGTCCTGGGTTCGAATCCCGGGGTGGGGCCAAAAATCAATTATTGAGTTTTTCTGTCAAGAAATTCTCAGTAGCTGCCCGGAGTCAGGAAGTTGGCGGTGTCTCACCAGTGTGCCTCGGAAAGCAAGTAAAGCCGTTGGTCCTGCGCCTCATCTCTCTTCCGATTGTGTCGGTTTACCGTCCCATAGGAATACCAGAGTGAGGGAATAGAGAGTGCACCTGTGCTTGCGCATACACTTGGGCACTATAATCCTGTTCTGCGCCGATGGCTAGCCTCCGTTGAGGCAGGCCGCCGTGGCCTACATTCGGTCTGGAGGACATTATTATAGTTATGGGGTATCTATATAATTTTCTCATCTGGTTGGGTTCCATAAATATATAATTGCGAACGAAAATGATAAATATACATAAATAACAATAAAATAAAATATATACATAAAAATACATAAATAAATAAAAGCCCAACCAGATGGAAGCCCTCGGCAGGGGAGACCAGAGTGGCCGAGGGTTAAGGGGGAAAGGGAAAGAAACCGGCGTACAATGCGGGCAGTATCGAGGAGTACCGCCTTCTGCATTTGAGCCCGGAGCAGTCCGTTACGGAGTCCCAGTCGCCTCAGATGACCCGAGAGGCTGACTCGACGACACGACGACACACGACACAGGTATAATGGTGACAGCCACTCCATATGTCGGTCACCTCGTGAGCCAGGTCCAGATATTTTGTTCGCTTATCTGTTTCGGCTTTCACGAGGTTCTCGTCATACGGAATGGTAATGTCGACCAAAAATATGCTTGACTATGCCCGGTCCATCAGCACAATATCAGGCTTATTCGCAAGAATAGTCCTGTCTGTGATGATGGCCCGGTCCCAGTAGAACCTGATGCGGTCATTTTCGAGCACGACCTCCAGCAAGTACTTGTAATACGCCAGTTTCCGGTCCACGAGACCGTATTTCAGAGCGTAGAGCGTGTAGAATTCTGGCTACTAGGTTGTGCCTGTGCAAGTACTCAGAGTTCGAAAGCGCCGAACAACCGGAGATGACATGCCTAAGTGACTCACCGGGATGGCGACAAGCTCGACAGACGTCGACAGTGCCAAGTGCCTTTAGGATATATCTCCGATAGTTGTTGGTCTTAATAACCTGATCCTGTATTGCACAGACAACCCTCGGTTTCCCCCGAAGAGGTCACCGAGACGCAGCCAGTTGAGGGAGGCGACTGTGTCTACGAAAGGTTCATGTAGAGCTTTGTAGAACCTCCCGTGGAGCTTCTTCTCCTTCCATACAGTCTCCCGGTCGGAAATACTCTGTACTGCCGGTTCTTGCCATTGCTCGTTGGCCAAGGATAGAGGGGTAAGCCCTTTATCACAACAAACAATAGAACCAGAGTAACCGACATAGTCCAACTGCAACAACAACAAGCTGAAGTGACGGCTAGCCATATAACTCGAAGAACTAACAAGCGATTGAAAAAAAACTGCCTCGTAGGTACTAGTAAGCGAAGTGTAGGGTTTCCTGACACCTGGTAAGAGATGCAGAAGTAAGGAAAGAAGTCGATGGCTTCAAGTGGCTCTAGACCGTAGTTTGTTACGTGCCTTGAAGAATTCCTTTGTTTAACAGTGAACTTGTGAGGAGCTGTAATGATTATTATGATGATTATAGTGGACATCGGTTTTACCTTATTTATAAAATAAGGGTGACTAATGAGCACACGGCCCACCTGATGTTAAGTCTATATTGTCAACCCTGAGGTCTAATATGGAATGCCTCATTTCCAGTAAAGAAGGTCTCCGGTTCTCTGCATTCACCATACGAAACAGTAGCATTAAGCTGCCTAGGAACGATTTGTCTGATGCAGATTAACAATCGCGGCATGAAATTTCTCGCACATTCGATGTTAGTCATAGGCACTGGTTCTAGTATTTCAAGTAAAAGTGTAATTATAATTAATATGGCTGTTTCGTTATCTTTGGAAGACCGCAATTTTATCTCGCATTATAATTTCAATATTAACTGAAAAAGTCTATAATTGATGTAAATTTCTCATAATGTAAAAAAATCTTTAATTTTTATTACTTTTTTGCAGAAAACCTTGTACTTTTAAAAATGGTCACAAATGTTCGAAATATTGTCTGCCAAGTCTCTTACTGGCACATTGATATTTACTTAGAGTTCACTCACTATGTATATTTCTTATCTGTAAATAATACAAGTAATCAACAATTTCGTGCAACAAAGACTCATAAAATGAAATAAATTATTATTAGATCGTGACAAGTTAAGGAATTCCATTATCTTTTTACGATGTTTTGTTATGGATGTTATTATTGCATTTTTTATTAAGTAACTACCTACAGAAAAAAGGCTAGCATACAAAATAGAGTAGATTTATTTTATCGGGGAACTACCTAATTTATATTGTTTGTAAAGTTTTCATATTAAACAAATTTTTATATTACTAAAACTAATATTGCACAAACAACTTAAAAACTCTACTTAAAAAACTTAATAGAATAGGATATGTCGTACTGTTTTCTTTTGCTGTGTCATGAAAGCCATCAGTGATGCCTACTCTTTAACGTCTGACGTTCTACCCGCTTATGCAGAAAAATAAATACATATATACCTTACAATTCCAAAGCATAGTCTATACTTATGACTTCTGGACTTATTGCGTGTACATGTATATACAAATACTATTTCAATTCTCAACCACACTTGTAACTTACAATAGCAATTTTATTTAGTAATATGTCAATATAATAAACAAATGTATCTCTTTCATGTTATGAAGGACACTTGCAAGGAGTCGCAACGTCGCTGCTATATCAACAAGGTCGTGTCAATTTTATAGAGCGATAATTTGCGAAGTGAACATTGGTATGCCTCGCAGCACGTTGCATTCACAGATTAGTTATGATTTATTACTAGATTGCTACTGTCGTACCCTGTTAATCGGGCATTATGCGCTATAGTACAAAATAGTCTCTTTACTTTATATGTGTTGCGTCTATATTTGCCTTCATTTAAAGTCATTTCTGCTTTTACTTATTGGCTTATTTCGGGGATGACCTCGTAACGCAATTATACGGATTTCTGCCAAAATCAATATTAAGACGAATCTTATAATAGTTGTATTTGTCATAATATCTTTAAATGTTTGTACTGCGGCGCACAATTTTGCATGTATGTGCTATGAAAATTGAATGTGTTGCTGTACCACATAGATACGCCATAAGAATTTGCATGTAAAATAGACGTCCAAAGACGTTCCGCGGAAATAAATATGACAAACTAGAGAACGTCCTATGATGTCGCGCCATTTCATAATTCTATCAACACGACGTTGTGAGACGTTTCTCACACGAACGTGTTAATAATGTAGTTGAACTATCCCTTGGCGTGGTTCTAATGGATTACAGCGACGTCATTTGTTCTTATCAGTGGTGTAGCAAGGGGGTTTACTTTAACAATTACTATTTAACCCCATTAAAATATATAAGCAAATTCTTGCGCACCACCAATAGTCTAATCTATCCTTATAATGTGACAGTTATGCAATACCTAAAGCAGTAAGTAGGCTTAGGACCACTTAGTGTAACAGTGCTTTTTGCAATCTGTAAAAGTGGCCCATGTTTAGAAATCGACTCATTACTGGTTATAAAAATGATAATAAAATGAATAACATATTTATTTAGAAACTTATTTTTCATAACTGTGTGATTCTTCTTCGTTACTTTTTAACTTTTGAGTTATCAGTAAAAACGTGCGATGTGTAAAACATTATTATAATATTTCAACTTCTATAATATCATCAATTCTAAATTTACTCAAAGTAAACATCAAGTCACAAATTCTAGGAAGTGTGCTGCATATAATTGATTGTGATCATTTATTTTGTTTAAACAATATTTTGAAAATATAGTTGTGATTAATATTACATCCCATATATTTATGCATGGCGTGTTAAAGGTATATGATGAAGTGTTAAAGGAGGTATATTTAAACTTTCACTGTAAAATCTTAGGAATATTATCGCGTTTAGTGTAATATTTTTACATTTCCAATTGTGTGTTTTTGCAGCATCCATGCGTGACCAATACCATACAACTATAGTCCAATTAAATTCGATGAAGTCCGTTAAAATTAAACTTTTAACAAAAAGTATTTTTTATAGTATAGGTTGACAAACGAGAACACTATCCACCTGATGGTAAGTGGATATGTGGCCCATAGACATCTACATTTATCTTCAATAAAGTGTCAAAATGCAGACGCGTAGTCACCCCTGAGGACCAAGATAGAATGCCTCATTTCTAGCAAAGAGGGTCTCCGGTTCTCTACACTCACCATACGAAACACAGCAGCATTAAGCTGCTATTTCACGCTGGTATTCTGTGAGAGCGTGGTGAGTTCGTGCTACAACCATAATGTAGCTGCAACGTGACTTTATCACTACTTCAATGAACTAAACTTTTCAGTTAGTTGGAATCAGTTTTTAATTTTTAATAGATGTTTAATCTTTTTACCCTTTTGAGTGGATTAAGAATCTATGACGATCACGAGCTCAAAAAATGTCTAAACAGTTATATTTAAATCTTCATTTCCCATTTTTTCACCTTTGACAAATTTAATCAATGAGGTAATTTAAAATATTCATTTAAATTGATTTAGGGTTGGTTCATACCCATATCGCGTAACATACAAAACAACGCATTCAAATTGAGAACCTGTTACTTATTGCAAATCTGCTTCAATAATGATTCCATTTAATGTGTAGAAACAAATGATTATTTTTCAGATGTCAGATAGGGGTGGGGGCATTCCCCGCAGTGTGTCGGATCTACTCTTCAAATATATGTACAGCACCGCGCCACAGCCGTCAAAGTCAGACTCGCACACTGTGCCGCTGGCCGGTAAGCTTACAGTAAATTTTAGTTTTTCATAGAACACGGAAACCGCTGACCATATTGTTAAGAAGTCGTTTTTGGGTGATGCTTGTGCAAGCCAGGAAGCTTTTACGCCCCCTACTTGAAGACGTCGTGATGTGTCAAAAGTTCATCACTTGTGTTATATTATGGCGTCTGTACACGCTCGTTGAGACACTACGAGACAGGCTGAGTACGAGTGTGTACATGGTGCTCTCGTCGCGTCGCGTCGCCTCTCGTGGCTCTCGTGCGCTCTCGGAAGCGTATCGGTTTTTTGCGCTCGAGTCAAAGGGTCTCGTGAGTCTCTCAATCGAAACGAGAGCGTATTATATTCTATTCACCGTACATGGTTCAGTTACGGTAAATAGAAACCATCCACCATTTTCTCCTTCGCCGTGGCTTATTAATTTTATTTTTATGGTAAATGTGTAAAAAGTTATCATAACTAATAGCACAAAGGCAAAACGCAACAACAGTTTCATCTAGGTCCATCTCAGCGGGCATACGGAGTTCAAATGATACAACGAGTGTGTACATGGTGTGTTCTCGTGTCGAGCCTCACGACGAGAGGCACGCGAGGCGACGAAACGAGCGTGTACAGCCGGCATTAGAAGTTACTCGATTAGATTATTAGGAGTACCATTCAGAATCCAGTCATCCCCGCTTTCTTCGTTGTATATTGTCTACATCTTAGTTCAGATATTAAATATATATTCGTATTGCTTTAAATATTAATTAATCAAGGAATTTGAATAAAGTTTTTGTATGTTACAAATTTCGTTGCAGGATTTTTTAAACCCAAATTGATTTACGAGTATTATCTGCTACTTGTACTAAATTTTAATTTTTTTATCTTCATATAACATTTTTAGATAAAAAAATACCTTATATGTTTCTCTCCATTGGCGTAAAGGGGTAGGGCGTAAGAGTCGCTACCCTATATCATCACCACCCGTAAGAGGAAACAGAGGGAAACTGAGACAGGAACTGAGCTCCGTGGTTGCGAGCAGGAGAGCGAGTTACTGGAACAAGTATTCGTATAGCCTACAAGTAATTGTTCCGGGTATTAAGGTTGGCCTTGTGAAATTTATGTTTTTAAACTGCCCCTACAATACACGATAAAATCCTAAAATAGAGGTAACGTTATATTAAAAAAAACAGCTCTAAATAATAAAATACTGCAGTTGCAAACCCGTCTGTATGTTCAGCAGTGGACTTTTGATAAGCTGTAATTAACGAAATTATTTTGTATCAAAGAATGGATATAATGCAAGTTAAATAACTACTTTCAAATCTCCCATTACACTTTTAGAAAGTTTTTTTTTTAACAAGTAGGGGTGGCAAAAGGGCACTCAGTCCATCTCATAGTAAGCAAATACTGCCTGTTTTGCATCTGTGTTGAACTTAGAACTAGGGATGGGAGATATGATAAAGATATAGAACGACGAGTGAATGCGGGAAATAGAGTAAATGGGGCCTTGCACTCTATTGTGAAGAGTCAAAATGTGTCGAAAAAGGCGCGTATGGCAATTCACAATGCTGTGTTGGTCCCTACTTTAACGTATGGTAGTGAAAGTTGGGTGTGGCAGGAAGAAGCACGAGAGTAGAATAAACGCAGTAGAAATGCGGTCGTTAAGGAGTATGTTAGAGCTGAATCTGAATGACAGGGTAAGAAATTGTGTAATAAGAGAAGAGTGTGGTTTGCAAGATGATGTTGTGACCAGGATTAAGAAAGGAATGCTTCGGTGGTTTGGTCATGTGGAAAGGATGAATGAGGAAAGAGTGACAAAGAAAATTTATGGTGCAGAAGTGAATGGCAGAGTCGGAAAGGGACGTCCTAGGCGAAAATTTATCGACCAAATTGGCGATTTATTGAAAACGGGCCAAATTAGGAGTACCCTTAACCGACGAGCTTGTATGCGTAGGTGTATGGATGTGAAGGAGGGAAGAGAGGTGTGTCAGGATCGTGCCAAATGGAAGTCTGTAGTCTCTGCCTACCCCTCTGGGTGACAGGCGTGAGTGTTTATATATGTATGTTATGTAATTTTATTAGAACTAGAAAACCAGCCACATTTTTTTCGTTATCTTCTGGCAGATATGTTAAATGTGTTATTTTTGGCGTAGTTAGTATTTATGATTATGTCAAACATTAGGCAACGACACTAGTTATACTTATGTTATAATCCATCGAGACGTTTAGGCTACGGAGCACAACATAAGGGCCTGCGCTCACAGACGGTATGGAATGGCACGGCGTGGCATACTTCGGCATACCGAAAGATTCTGTGGCATCCCGCGGCACGACATACCAAACAACTCGAGACGCACTTGTGCATCGGGCACTCGCGCAAGTCGTTGAGATCGCCGCCGCAACGGGCTAGATTCAACCTTATTTCAATTACTTAACACTCACATTCCTAACAAAGTAAAGCAACCTATGCGTTTCACGTGATGCATGCATCCCATGGAATGCCATGACGTGTAACAGCATGCCGCGGTGTCTCGAGAGACGTTTCGGTCTATTCGTGTTGAAATAAAGGAATGTTAGTGCTAATATCATTAAAATAACGTCGAAAATATATTTTCCACAAAAATATCTTTTGACACGTCGTGCCATGCCGTGCCGTCTATGAGCGCAGGCCCTTATAATAGACATACATACTTAAATACATATATTCGAAAAACATTACACTCCTTCTGGGGTAGGCAAGTATAAAGGGAACAAACGTTCAAATTATCAAACCCCGCCTACGACTCGTTATGGCTATATCTTTCCTAAGGCATTTGCGAATGATTAGTTTTGCATACAATCATGGACATAAGACATAAGTTCTACTCTATGATACGTTCTTCCTACTTCTACACATTAAACACAATAACTTGAAGAATTTAAAATATAACTATTTACAGGTTACGGGTACGGGTTGCCAATTTCGAGGCTGTATGCGAGATATTTTCATGGCGACCTGGTGCTCATGTCGTGCGAGGGATATGGAACCGACGCCGTCATCTATTTGAAGGTGAGTGAAACACAGCGAAAGCGGAAGATTAGAACCTATTTAGATGTGTTTAATCATTTTTTTTTATTTATAAAATTTTGCAAAATTTAAAATAAGCAAATTTTATTTTTTTAAGATAACTTCAGTATAGGTATCGTACCTATATACTCCTTTCACATTTGACAAGTTTTTATTAACATATTATAGTGTAGCATATAAAAGTTACAGCCTATATACGTCCCACTGCTGGGCACAGGGCTCCCCTCATTTCTGAGGGGGTTTTAGGGCAAGAAAGTGTCCGCCGCGCTGCCCCAATGCGTGTTGGCGAACTTCACATGTCTTCGAAATATTTTTTTTTCTTATTCCTCAGACATGCAGTTCCTCACAATGTTTTCTTTCACCGCCGAGCACGTGGTATAAAATATATTACATTATAATTAAATATAGTATATGTAATTTATTAGTATATAATTTAATGCTGCTTTGTGGTAAAATCATATTATTACCCATTGACTTTTGTTTATATCAATGATATTATTGAATAAATTTAATTCGAATGTCTTAATTTAATAGTCGGTAAGGTCGGTGTAAGATTATATATCATCCTGTTGCCTTCCGTGAAATCACAACAATTTGACTACGGGGAGTGCCCGATAGTAATATCTTATAGCTTCCTCCAGATGGCAATCTAGGTATGGTTATTTCCACGTTATAGTCTGATACTGTGATTGTGAATCAGCGCGTCGCAATATTTTTTTTAAAAATCGAAATGAAATTGCTTTCTTATCGATTGGCATTTTTTGTTAATTTACTATCATGTTTTTAGCCATTTGTCAAAAGATGTCTTCTGTCTTTTCTAGTTTACCTCGAGAGTCCTGTAAAAGGCCACAGCTGGGCATAGTCTTTACTGTAAGCAGGATTTGCTTTAATCATCGCTCTTGGCAGACGGATTGACGTAGCACCAGACGTCGTTCGCATCTTTGAGCCTCTGATACTGCTTCCCATCGTCTGATGAACGAGATGCTTATACCGCCATCTATCGGAAGCCATTTTTTTATAATATATGAAGGGAATGTCCGTGACATACGGCTCACCTGATGGTAAGTGACTACACCGCCCATGAACAACTACAACACCAGGGCAATTGCAGATGCGTTGCCGGCCTTTTAAAAAATAATAGGCTCTTTTCTTGAAGGTCCCTAAGTCGTATCGGTCCGGAAAAATCACTGGTGGTAGTCGATTCCACAAGGAAGTTGTGCTGGGAAGAAAACTTCTAGATCGCACACAATATCTGGCATTTTTCATAGTCGCCTCTTACGAGCTTACGACACCACGGGACGAAATGCAGTACTGGATTTTCTCACGGCAGCCTCAGTGAAATTCATCATCATCATCATCATTACAGCCCTTCACAAGTCCACTGCTGAACATAGGCCTCCCCCAAGCAATGCCACAAAGCACGGTCTTGAGCCACCTGCATCCATCGACTTCCTGCATGTCTTCCCAGGTCGTCACTCCATCTAGTGAGGGGTCGCCCTACACTACGCCTACCGGTACGAGGCTGCCACTCGAGAACCTTTCTTCTCCATCGGTTATCGGTTCTTCGAGCTATATGGCCGGTCCATTGCCACTTCAGTTTACTAATTTGTATTAGCTAATAAATACCGTTGGGCTATGTCGGTCACTGGTTTTACTGCGGATATCCTCATTTCTGAGTATCACGCAGAGAAACTCCGAGCATAGCCCTCTCCATAGCTCGCTGAGCGACCTTGAGCGTCCTCTTACGGCCAGCAGTGAAGGACCACGTCTCAGATCCGTAAGTCATCACTGGCTACACGCACTGGTTGTATAATCTAGTTTTTAGAGATTGAGGTATACCTGACGAGAAGATATGTCGTAATTTCCCGAACGCTGCCCAGCCGAGTTGAATCCGTCGATTGACCTCTCGGTCGAAGTTGGTCTTACCTAGTCGGACTATTTGTCCCAGGTAAACGTACTCCTCAACAACTTCAATGCTTGTAGTGCTCCCAACAACTACCGGCATAGGTGTGACATGGAAATTAAACATGATCTTTGTTTTGTCCATGTTCATCTCGAGACCTATCTGTTGGGAGACACCATTGAGGTCATTGAGCATAGTGCTTAGGTCCTCCAGCGATTCTGACATAAGGACTATGTCGTCGGCAAATCGAAGGTGAGTGATGTACTCGCCATTTATGTTAATACCGTACCCTTTCCAGTCCAGTAGCATGAAAACGTCTTCCAATGCAGCGGTGAAGAGTTTCGGGGATATAACGTCACCCTGTCTTACACCTCTCTGCAGTTGGATAGGTTTCGAGCTCTGGTTCTGTACTCGGATAGCATCGTCCCTACTGTACAAACACTTCAGCACTTCGATATACCGACAGTCAACTTGGCACCGCTGAAGGGATTGTAGCACCGCCCAAATTTCGACGGAATCAAAGGCTTTCTCACATAGTCCACATACGCCAGGCAAAGTGGAAGATTGTACTTTTCGGTCTTCTGTACAATCTGCCGCAAGGTATGTATGTGGTCTATGGTACTGAAGCCTTTTCGGAAACCGGCTTGTTCGGGAGGCTGGAAGTCGTCGAGTCTGCGTGCGAGACGATTCGTAATGATTCTCGAAAACAGCACGTAGACGCGGCTCAGAAGGGAAATCGGTCTGTAGTTCTTCAAGAGAGCCTTTCCTCTCCTCTCTCTTCTCTCTTATCCTCTCCTATCCTTTCCTTTTTGTCGCCGTTCTTAAAGAACAAGACCACCGCACTTCTGCTCCACGCCTCTGGAGTAGTGCCGCCATGGAGGACGGAATTGAAGAGCTTCTGAAGGACTTCAAGTACCGGTGTTCCACCCGCTTTCAGAAGCTCCGCTGTAATACAATCCTCTCCTGGGGCACACCCGTTTTTAAGGTGCTGGAGAGCCATTCTAATCTCGCTCAGACTGACGTCCGGGATATTATCGGAATAGTTTCGAATAAGACTTGCTCTTGGATCGTTACTCTCACTTGCGTGTGGCTCCAACAATGATGTGTACAGCTGCCCATAGAACCCCTCAATCTCACTCAAAATCTCAGGTGTCCCGGAAACGATGCTGCCACACTCAGTCTTCAGCTTTGACAGTTGGCTCTTTCTGGCAGACAGATCTCTGGCAAAGACTTTGGAGCCCTGGTTCCGCTCGATCGCTTCTTTAATACAAGCAGTATTAAAGTTGCGTAAGTCTCGCCGCATGCATTTGGAGATCTGTCTGTTCAGTTGCCTGTATGCTGTCAAATCTGTTGAAGATTGCAGCCTCATCTCCCGTCTAACAGCCATGAGATTAAGAGTGTGATCGGAGAGTTTTTGTGTTCTTCTGCTGCGGGTCTTGCAGAACTTAGCTCCGACCGCATGGACAGTTTCCACGAGCTTGTCATTCATGTCGTCCACTGCATTGCAATCCTCTAGGCACTGAGAGCGGTTTTGTCACTTGAGCTGAAAGGTTTCGGGATTCTGGATTAGAGCACGAGGGGGAGGACGGAGCGTTGACTTCATTAGACGAGACCTCTCCAACTTAACGTTTAGGTTCAGTGTGCCTCTAACCATTCGGTGATCGCTGCCAGTTTTCACCCTTGCGATCACTGAGACATCACTGAACAGTTGGCGTCTGGTCGTCATAATGAAGTCAATCTCATTTTTTGTCGAACCGTCGGGGCTCGACCAGGTCCACTTTCTGTGGGGCCGCTTCTGGAAGAAAGAGTTCATCATAAAAAATCCCTCTTTCTCCATGAAGTCGGCCAGCTGCTGGCCCCTTGGGTTCCGTTGCCCTATCCCAAATTTCCCTACCTTCAGCTCACCGTTCTTTCTTGTGCCCAGTTTTGTGTTGAAGTCTCCCATTAACACCGTATAGTGAGTTTTGGAGGAATTCATGGCTCTAGAAATGTCCTCAATTTCCTCCACCTCCTCATCGGGATGTTCCGACGTGGGCGCGTAAACCTTTATGACCTTCAGCGAATACCGTTTGGTGATTCTGAGTATAAGGTACGCAACCCTCGTCGATACGCTCCCAATCTTTAAAACGTTGTTAACGAGAGACTTGTGGACGATAAATCCAACACCTCCTTGGGCAGATGGTCGCCCTCCCGGTGATAGAACAAGTTGTCGGATTCGAGAATCACCGTGTCCTCCCCCTCTCTTCGGACCTCGGATAATCCTATAATATTCCAGCGCAACTTGTCTATCACTTCTTCCAGCTCCAGGATCTTCTCGTCAGTCCTCAGGGTGCGTGCGTTAAATGTTGCCAGGTCGAGTCGTTTAAGGTGGCAACCGAACTTTAACCGGAGATTCTTAGCACCCCCTGCCCCGCCGTTACCATGGTCGCCACCGTAGCCAAGAATAGCGGGGCACCGGGGACTGGGGGCCGTCTATTTGTGTAATTGTTCATGGGGGGTATATTGCCATAGTTGCCACGCTTGGCGAGCGGGTTGGCAACCGCAGTTATTTTTTGTTGTACAGGTGCTGTTATCAGGAAGATGCTGCTGCCCATCTCCTGCCTGTCTCTCTCTGTCGCTTTTTACGAAACCCACGGGAAGATATGGGGTAGTGGATATTCTTAACCGCCACTACACGTCAAGTCAATTAAATTATTTAATAAATATTATTGTAGATAAATGTGGTATGCAAGATGATGTTGTGACCAGGATTAAGAAAGGAATGCTTCGGTGGTTTGGTCATGTAGAAAGAATGAATGAGGAAAGAGTGACAAACCAAATTTATATGGGCAGATGTGAACGGCAGAGTCGGGAAGGGACGCCCTAGAAAAAAGTTTATCGACCAATTTGGCGATATTTTGAAAATGGGCCACGTTAGGAGTGCCCTTAACCGACGAGCATGTATGCGTAGATATATGGATGTAAAGGAGGCGATAGAGGTATGTCAGGATCGTGCCAAATGGAAGTCCGTAGTCTCTGCCTACCCCTCTGGGTGACAGGCGTGAGTGTTTATGTGTGTATGTAAATATTATTGTTAATTTAATATCACAGGCGCTGTCAAACGAAGCAAACGAACTTCTCCCAGTGTTCAACCGAACGTCGAGCAAATTCTATCGACCAATGCCAACACTTGCTGACTGGTCGGCTTCTCTTAACACCGGCAGCAATTCGCAATGTACGCGAACGAAGAATAGGGAGAAGTTGTCGCCGTCCATCTCACAGGGCCTATAGTGTGGCAGTATCAGAAATTAGGCTGGTTCATGACTAGACTCGCAGTATGTAGTCTACTTGTGTAGGTAATCCGTTTCCTGTGGTAGTTGTGAATAGTAAGTGTGGGTGTGCTCGAGTGATACATAATTGTGCTAAATATTAATGTGCTTTAATTAGGTTTCTAAAGCGTTTAGAATATTTGTTTCGTGATTTTAAAGTACAAAATTTTAAAATTAAAATCAGTCATCGATTTATCTAAAAAAAAAAAAACTCTTGAGCTTTTATCTAAAAAAGAGTATTTTTTTGGTTAATGTTACTGCGAGTCTATGGTTTCTTGTTTCTTTTTTGTATATTTTACAAATTATGTGATACTCTATATAGTTTTAAATGGTTTATGGATTGCAAAATTGGACTGAATATGAATAAATAAGGAAGATGTTCGTATTTTTGAGAAGTACAAGTTCGATAAATAGAAAAATTTTGCATATTATGACACTTATAAATCAAGGATTGTATAAAATATAATAACACTTAATAAATAAATGTTTGAATTCAATATTCACTCTATAGGTATAACTGAAATGTATATATTTTTTTCAGTGTTAGTGTGAATGTTAAAAGAGAGCTTTATTTAAAGTATTTCAGAGGTTGGTCTATAACAAACACTGAATTATTGATTATCGAAAAGAAAAGAAATTCTTAAATAAAGCATCAGAGTTGACTTAATTAAACTTATTTCTTAACTCACTACACCACTCAAATACTTTAAAATATTTCTCTATTTGTATGAAATACAATTAGAAGAGGCAATTGTAGAATTCTGATGCAATATTGATATCATTAGATGTAGACATAAATCATTAATTATATTTTGATGAATCCTACTATTCCAAAAATATGATTAATTTATTAAGAATTGTAAGCGGTGATAAAAGTTTATAAAAGTACCTATAAATCTTGTGTCAAATGAGAGGCTAAGGCTTTAGAAAAATTTAAGTTATTTTTGTTGACACTAAAACTCTCATTTTAAGTTATAATTTTCGCACGAAAAATAATAACTGTAAACAAAAAATAAATTAAGCAATTTGTAATTTACCCCTTTTTAAAGTATGCATGGAATGGATTGATAATTATAGCAACTGTTTAATAATTAGACGCATACTAACATTTTTTGTATCATATCATAATAAAAAAGCAATAGATTATATTAACACTAGCTCAAACTTAATAGGTATTAATAAATTATAAAGTAGCCCAAGTTTTTAAGTTTTGATTCTAAGATAATTGGTGTGCATGTTGAAAATAGTTGAATGTAGGATTTCTTTACGAATAATGCTTTTCACACTCCGATTCTATTACAATAATAACATTTGATATTATTTTTATATAAACTAAAAAAAATTGTTTTCATAATAATTAGACAATTGAATTGTACACATCAATCAAAAATCAGTACCAAGGTTTCGGTTGTTTTACTGTATTGTTAAGTTAGTCTGGGGCCATTTTCGTGACATATGGTTTAAGTATGTATAATGTATATAATATAACTTTACAATTGCTTTCTAACAAGAACATATTGATATTAAAATTTTATATTCAAGTTTAATACAAATAAAAAGAACAGAAATAGGACCTAAGTGTTGTGTATTATGTAACTTACTTTTGCACAAGGATTTAATTTTTTCTCTATATTTGCATTTAACTGACTACAAAATGAACATCTATATAAACTACGAAATGTAATAAATGTTTTAAAATTAATTAGGTACATACTAACTTGAAAACCCTGTTTATGCATATACACGGGCGCAATTGGGTTAAATCAGCGGGCAAACTTGCAGCTGGGGCTACAATATCAATATCAACCCTATATAGTAGATTGTGTATGTGCACGTCCAACTTGAGGCGCGCCGATACAAACAATATATCATCTCATAGTATTTAATTGTAGTACTATTCAAGAGTTTATTATTACTATACTCAAATACGAACGCCCATATGATCACAAAAACGCTACTGCTTGCGACCGTGTATACGTAAAAAGGGCTTGTTAATTTGTTTTGGACCAAAGCAATAACTTGGTATTTTCGAATTATTAACTACTAAAGTAATTAACACCGTCATTGTAAAAACAATCATCTTTGTTTAGGCTCTAATGCATTTTTATTTATTATAAGTTGTTATTCCAATCCAATATTTAAATAATTTAATCAACTAGATGTGTAGAAATGTCGTAGAGCAAACTTTATTTAGTTTATAAGAATAAAATTTTATTAAATAGCAATAAAGTCTCTTATTTTCCTCTACTATCTATCATATATACAACAAAAGCTATATATTATCTATTGAAATCTATAATCATTAGGAAATTCTGGACGATAGTACTCTGGATTAAATTTTATATTAAATTGGTGATAGGGTCACTTTTCTACCTGAAATCTCGTATCTGTTTCTTTGTTTTTATTGAACTAAAGTGCCGAACGAACTTCCTATCCACCTGATGGGAAATGGCTACTTCCTTTATAGGACAGTTACTACCATGAAGGTTAGAGAACAGGAGAACGATCACTACGTACTAAAGCATAGCCCGCCTGTCCTTGAAAATTGTAGAATATATAGCGGCGATGACGTCGGTGAGTAGTGACTCCGAAGTTAGCTGTTTATGAGTACAAGTAGATGAAGTTAGTTGAATAATATACAAATTTTCATTTCATTTTTAATGAGAAAATTTTTATGCTCCGTAATTTTGTAATTTTTGACATAAAGAAACATTAAAAAATGGAGAAGTATTTTATTGTGCGTGGATGTGCAAGTGGTTTAGCATCTGATCGGAAAAATAGACTGAAAATGACTTATTGACCGAACTTAGTGATCGCAGCGCCTCACTTATGGTGCCCATATTTCTGGGACACTATTGGATGGCAACAATATCATGGAGTGTAGAAGTAAGAAGAACCGTCTCTGTATTAAAAAATGTCCGTAGGAAAGCCCTAAATAAGGGTGGCGCCACTGTAGCTAGAGAAAAGAATTATGGTGATAATTCTTTTTCATAATAATTATTTAATTGTTTTCAAAATTGTTATTTTCATACTCAATGTGCTTCACGACAACTTTTTCTAGGTTATATTTACGAAATTATTTTAGACAACATGAGTAGTTGAGTTTTAAATACTGCAGTTTCTTCTAAAAGCGGACTTGTCCAACTAATTATATTTTACACTAGAGCAAAAAAACTGAATTAGGTATATGCATATGGACTGAAATTTATGCATTTCAGTATAATATAGTATATTAGTATATTATATAAAATATAATATAGTATATAATATAGAACATAACCAATACACGGTATGTGAAATAAGAATAGAAGGAGAGTTAATTGAGCAAGTGGATGAGTTTGTGTATTTGGGATGTGTATTTAGCAGGGATGGTAGATATGATAGGGATATAGAACGACGAGTAAATGCAGGGAATAGAGTGAATAGGGCACTACACTCTATTATGAAGAACCAGAATGTGTCAAAAAAGGCACGTATGGTAATTCATAATGCTGTGTTAGTCCCTACTTTAATGTATGGTAGTGAAAGCTGGGTGTGGCAGAAGAAGCACGAAAGTAGAATAAATGCTGTAGAAATGCGGTCTTTAAGGAGTATGCTAGGGTTGAATCTGAATGACAGGGTGAGAAATTGCATGATAAGAGATAAATGTGGTATGCAAGATGATGTTGTGACCAGGATTAAGAAAAGAATGCTTCGGTGGTTTGGTCATGTAGAAAGAATGCATGAGGAAAGAGTGACAAAGCAAATTTATATGGCAGATGTGAACGGCCGAGTCGGGAAGGGACGCTCTAGAAAAAAGTTAATCGACCAAATTGGCGATATTTTGAAAAAGGGCCACGTTAGAAGTACCCTTAACCGACGAGCATGTATGCGTAGATACATGGATGTAAAGGAGGCGAAAGAGGTATGTCAGGATCGTGCCAAATAGAAGTCCGTAGTCTCTGCCTACCCCTCTGGGTGACAGGCGTGAGTGTTTACGTTATGTTTTATTATAACCAATAGCCTGCTTGTTGGTCACAAAAATATGTGTTTTCAATTATTTTTATTTTTGTAATGGACAAGTCCGGTTTTGATTATTAGAGGTGGACAACTCCGGTTATGATTGAAAGAGTTATGGACATGTCCGGTTATGACAAAAAACTAGATTCTATTATTGTATTTTTTTATTTAAAAATTATACGAATTCTCCCACATCTGGTTCACAACAGTCACAATCTTCACTGTGGTCATCGTCTTCGTCATTTATTTGACTTGTTTCAGCAATTGCCACTGGTGTGGTATGGAATATATTGTTTTTAAACCAATCAAGCTCTTGATTATCCATCCAATTATCTTTTTTCTTCTTTGGTTTTGGTTCATTAACCATTGAAAGTCTTTGTAGTAAACTCGGATGTGTTTTTGTCATTTTTAACAATGATACGGCATTTTCTGATGATTCATCTCCATAGTAGGTGTTTAAGACTTTCACGCCAAAGTATACGTGATTTAAAAGTGCGCTAGGATCTCTTCGTATATTTGCACTGCCTCGGCCACGTGCTCTGCCCCTACTACGGCCCTGATTTCTTCGTGTTGATTGTTGAGATTGACTAGGAGTTTCTGTTTGGATTATGGTTGACTTTCTTTCTATTATTATTCTTTTTGCATCTCGAATACTTTCTACTTTTTTGTAATAGTCTTCAAGTTTTTTGACGTTGTAAAGGTTCCAGTTTTCAGCTAAAATATGAACTTTGCCATGCTTTGCGTAAACTTCATGATATGTTTTTGGATCCAAAATGAAAGGCTTCTTCCGCAAATCCAATGAAAGGCTTTTTCGAAAAGTTGACCCTCCCGAACACTCGATCCGCCGGCAAGAAGCTGTGACCGCGCATAGAGAAGATTAGTACGATTTTGGTGACATTTTGAGGGGTGTAGTTTTTCAACCAGAAAATCAAAGTGTGGACGACATGTGAATTTTTATTTTGCCCTCCACACCCGTCCAAAAAAAAAAGACGTAAAACTTCCACTTCAGAAAAATCAGTAAACATCAGGTATTTTAAAAGAGCAGACACAATTTCAGTGACGCCTTTTTTAGCTTGGTTTTCTGTCCATATGAAGAAATGTGGGTCTTTTGTAGACATATTAGTGATGCAGAAAGAATAAAGTCCAACTTGTCGTAAATAGAAACATTCCTGGATTGGTGTTTTAGGATTGAATTTGTAGGAGATCAAAACATATTGTCATTGAATTTTCAGGTGTTTCTTTCGTAAGGGAAAAGAACGCTTTGGCCCTAGCTTTATGAACTCGGAGTTGAAGTTTCAATGATTGAAGTTCTTCAGGATTCTTTTCAGTCTTCTGCTTATTTTTCAGCAGTTCGCAGGTACTACATACGTTGGAAGATGGTGATGAAAACCCAATGTTAAAATCGTTCTCAAAAACATTTCGGAACATCGATTGTGTGACTTAAATCATCAGTCGCTGAATTATTGTACAACTCCCACAACTTTTTTACGTTTAGCTCATATGACAGATAAACTCTTTTCGATTTGTTTCGATTGTAATGTGACTCCTTTGCTGGCAAACCACCAAAGAATTTTCTTACAGATTCCTTTTTATCGATACTTTTGAAACTTTTTCTGTCTCCTCCTCTGGCCTCAATTGGCGTTTTGCCTTCAAATAATTTGCTCGCAATTAAGTACACCCTGTGCTTACTGAGCCCAAGAGCAGCCAAAAAAAAAAAAGATTTGCATACTTTAACCTCGTAACGCCCAATGCACATTACGTTGTACATTTACACTATTTACATTCCGGCCCCGAATATAAATTAAAATTTTCTCAGAAAGGCCTACAGTACAATGCGATGAACACTAAAATATTCATGTTTATACTTTTAAATTTTCGCGCTAAAGTCAAACTCGTTTGAATATTGTCGTTGGTCAACTAGTGTGGATGAAATTTTGACAGCTGACGTTTGACAGCAGTATATGTCAAGTGGCCAAAATCGGCCATTTTCTTTCACCATGCCGAGGATTCAACAGCCAGGTGAGTTTAAATCTTGATTAATTGGTAAAATCCTATGATTTCTCATATTGAAATTATGACAAAACATGGGTAAATTTGTATATTTTTAGGAATTGTAGGTATTTTTAGGCAGTCTTACATATTCTCGTTTTTATCTTGAAGTGGCCGGAGGCCCAAATCCCCCCCCCCCCCCCAATCAACATGGTAGCGGAATTAAATAATAGACTACCCCAGGAGGGTACCAGCACCCCTGCAGAATCCCTCGCTGAGCATCCACGACCATGTTTCTCCACTTCTGGGCGTGGGTGCTCAGGCTGCTCCGCGTATTCTGGGAGGGGGGGGGGGCAAAATTCCGCTCAAGACTACAACTGTTCGGGGCAAACGGAGCAACAAGACCAAGGCGACCCCTGCCACGCTGTCCGTGAATTTCTGCAATATCAGGGGACTTCAAACGCCGTCCACTACCATCTCGAGACGGCGAGGCCGGCTCTGCTCTTTCTGACCGAGACGCAGGTGTCCTCTCCGGCTGATGTCTCGTATCTCTCCTACCCGGGGTACAAACTGGAACACTCCTTTGTGCCTCGAGCTGGAGTTTGCGTTTACGTCAGAGAGGACATCTGTTCTCGACGCCTCGGCAGACTTAAAGGTTCGGACCTGTCCATCCTTTGGCTACGCGTAGACAGCGACGACCATCCGCGCGTCTACGGGTGCCTCTATAGGTCCCATAGCGGTAATGCCGAAACAGACCGACTCTTCGACCACGTCCAAATGGCTACAGATTCGTTGCTACAGCAGATCCCCTCCGCAGAGATCGTGATCCTCGGGGACTTTAACGCCCATCACGCCGAATGGCTTGGTTCGCATTTAACCGATCATGCGGGGAGAGATCTGTTCATGATTTTGCCTTGGCATATGGTCTCACGCAAATGGTTACTTTGCCTACGCGGATTCCATATGTGGAGGATCATGCACCTTCCCTGTTGGACCTTCTGCTGACCTCTCACCCGGACGGATATCAGATTTCCGTCGACGCCCCTTTAGGCTCCTCGGACCATTGTCTTGTCCCGAGTGTGGTGCCTCACGCTGAAATCGCAGTTGCACGGATGCGGTCTTTCTTTGCATCCTACCCTTGGGGGCGGGTTTGCTTCTCGCCGGACGATCCCAACGTTGTTGAGGATTCTGTCGCTGATGTGGTACTTCAGGGTATGGAACTTTTTATTCCTTCCTCTGTGGTACCCATTGGAGGCAAATCTCAGCCATGGTTTGGTCGCTCCTGTAAAATAGCATCATGCTATAAGCAGGAGTGCTACCAGGCCTGGGCTGACGCATCAGCGTCCCAGGGTGTAAATACCAGCGCTCTAAAAAAGAAGTATAATTCCGCCTCTAGGTCCTTCAAAAGAGTCATTGCCAAGGCAAAGTCAGAGCACATAGGCAGAATTGGGGAGAAACTAGTTCGCCTTCCTTCTGGAACCCGTGCATTCTGGTCTCTCGCCAAGGCTGTCCAGGGGAATTTCTGTCAGCCATCTCTTCCATCTCTGCACATGGAAGACGACTCACTGGCCCATACCGCAAAGGAGAAAGCCGATCTTCTAGGCTCTTTCTTTGCGTCTGACTCGACTCTCGATGACACGGGGAGTACGCTGCCGACCATCCCGTGGTGTGAGTGCTCCATGCCGGTAGTGCAGTTCACACAGCGCTCGGTTCGCAAAGCACTCCTCTCCCTGGACATCCACAAGTCGAGTGGGCCTGACGGAATCCCCCCAATTGTGCTGAGGACGTGTGCTCCAGAGTTGGCACCGGATTTAAGGCGTCTTTTCCGGAACTCCTACTCCCTAGGCGTAGTCCCAAAATCATGGAAGACGGCTTTCGTCCACCCGATCCCTAAAAAAGGCGACCGCTCAGACCCGTCCAACTACCGGCCTATCACCATCACCTCCTTGTTCTCCAAAACAATGGAGTCCATTGTAAACTGCCAGCTCATGAGGTACCTTGAGGATCACCAGCTGATTAGTGACCGCCAATACGGTTTTTGCCGTGGTCGGTCAGCTGGTGATCTTCTGGTCTACCTAACTCACAGATGGGCGGAGGCAGTAGAGTCCAAGGGGGAGACATTGGCCGTTAGTTTGGACATTGCGAAGGCCTTCGATCGGGTTTGGCACAAAGCGCTTCTTTCGAAGCTCCCTTCTTATGGGCTTCCCGAGAAATTGTGCGATTGGATCACCAGCTTTCTTGCAGATCGGGGCATCAAGGTCGTTGTTGACGGTGCAAGCTCCGATTGCAAGCCTAATAATGCTGGTGTTCCACAGGGCTGCGTGCTATCGCCAACGCTGTTTCTTCTGCATATCAATGATATGTTGCAAACCCGTAACATTCATTGCTATGCAGATGACAGCACTGGTGATGCTCTTTACACCGGTCGAGCCAATATTACTCGGAAAAACGTATCCGAGTACCGGAATAAACTTGTGTCTGAAGTCGAGTCTTTGCTGAACAGAGTCTCGGATTGGGGGCGACTAAATCTAGTCCAGTTTAACCCCCAGAAGACACAAGTTTGCGCGTTAACCGCTAAAAAGAACCCCTTTGTCGTATCCCCTCAGTTTCAAGGCACTCCCCTTGTTGCCTCAGCCAGTATTGGAATCCTCGGCGTCGACATATCGAGTGACGTGCAGTTTCGTGGTCACTTGGAAGAGAAGGCCAAATTGGCCTCTAAAAAGCTTGGCGTACTCAGCAGAGCGGGACAGTATTTCATGCCGGTACACCGCCTGCAACTTTACAAGGCGCAGGTTCGGCTGCACATGGAATACTGTTCCCATCTCTGGGCTGGGGCTCCCCAGTACCAGCTTCTTCCACTTGACCGCATCCAGCGCAGAGCGGCTCGAATCGTCGACGACCGAGTGCTTTCCGATCGGCTCGATTCACTGGCGCTGCGAAGAGATGTTGCATCTCTTTGCATTTTCTTTCGCATATACCATGGAGAGTGCTCTGAGGAATTGTTCGGATTAATCCCAGCCGCCAAATTTCGTGACGCACTACGCGGCAAACGCCCCGATACCATCCACACCATCTGGATGCTTGGCGGTCCACCACTGTACGTTTCAAAAGGAGTTTTCTTCCGCGTACAACCTTTCTGTGGAATAGTTTACCACCGGCGATTTTTCCGGACCGATACGACCTGGGGACCTTCAAGAAAAGAGCTTACTCCTTTCTAAAGGGCCGCCAACGCACCTGCAATTCCCCTGGTGTTGCGGTTGATCATGGGCGGCGGTAATGACTTAACATCAGGTGAGCCGCATGCTCGTTTGCCCCCTCTTATATAAAAGAAAAGAAGATTTCGTACCGTCGGACGAAGATGTCGGTGACCCAGAGTTCCAATTCCCTACTGCAAGTTCGATTGAATGTGATAATAATGTCACCGAAAGTAGTAGTTCAGAAGCTGAAAGTAATATTTCAAGTTAAGAACGTTTAGTACGTGGAAGAGGCCATGCAACCAGGCGAGGAAGGGGACGCAGAACAGGAGTTGGAAGAGGACTTAGAACAGGGGTCGGAAGAGGACGCGGAACAGGGATCAGAAGAGGACGTGGGACAGGACGTGGTACAAGAAATAGAGGAAATAGGAGTAGTCGCTGACTTGGAACAAGAAGAGGTCAGGAAAATGAGGATGAAGAAAGCGGTGTTAATGAAGACTGTCCTAATAGCGGAACATAGAGTGTGAAAGAGTTTGACCAACAAATGATTCAGCCTGCTTATCTGGTTAAAGACACGGAAGGGTTTACCAAAACTGATTACTTGAAGCAATACATAGATGATGAGCTCATTGATCTCATACAGAGAAAGTCTAATCAGACTGCCATCGAAAATCAGGACGTAGCTTGTTTCTAACTTCTGAGGAACTGTATATCTACTTGGGCATAACATTAATTATGGCAGCAGTCAATTATCCAAAACTAAGGATGTACTGGAAAAAAAATGGAGGGTGACAATTATAGCCGATAACATGTCCAGGAACCGATTTTTCTTGCTGAGAAACTCTTTGAAATTGGTTTTCGACCATGATGTTACGCCAGAGATGAGAGCTAGGGATAAATTGTGGAAGATGCGCCCTCTAATCGGAAGCATACGAGCTGGATGCCACAAACAAGAGAAAGACCAATGTCTGTCTTTAGACGAAATGATCATTCCATTTACTGGGTCCTGTGCAATTAAGCAGTACTGTCCGGGTAAGCCTAATCCAGTCGGCTTAAAGGCTTTTGTTTTAGCAAACCCGGATGGTACTGTTTGTGACTTTCACTTATATCAAGGCCCAACCACCTATCCTGGGTATGAGAATACCACGTTTGGTTTAGGAGAAAAGGCGGTTCTTACGCTGACAGAAGATTTGGTTCCCGGTCATGTCATATACTTTGACAGGTATTTTACGTTGGAGAAATTGTTGGACGAGCTTGAAAAAACGGAATTTGTGGGACTGGAACTGTTATGAAAAATCGGATTCCTGCTGATGTGCGCCATTTACTGATAAATGACACAGAACTTAAGAAATAAGGGCGAGGAAGCAGCCAAGTGATTGTCCGAAATGATGACAATATAGCTTTAACGAAATGGTACGATAATAAACCTGTTTTGTTTTTATCATCTGTTGAAGCGAAAATCGAATCTGACGAGTGTCGACGCTGGTGCAAGAAAACTAAAGTTTATGTGACCGTACCACGCCCCAGGGTAGTGAGACAATACAACCAGAAAATGGGAGGAGTCGATCTTGCCGACCGTCTTTTGGCTGTATGTCCCTATCGCTATAGGACCCGAAAATGGACACAACGTTTTTTCGCCTCAATGGTTGATTTAGCTATAAGCAACTCCTGGATACAGTACAAAAAAGATCAATTGAAAGCTTTGGTTCCTTTAAAAAAAATTCAGCAACTACGAGCTTTCAAAATGGAGCTGGGCGACTTTCATTGAGGCCTACTGTGATACTAACACAGAAGCTATTGACTCAGAAGAGGATAACCGACCTCTAGTAAGACGCACAGGAAGCAAATCAGTTCCTATACCCAATGATAAGTTTCGAACAACTGGAGCTAAACATTTACCCTATATGGCGGAAAAGGTGGGTAGATGTCGACATTGTCATTATAACAGAACGCTGTTCAAATGCGAGGCCTGCAAAATTCACCTATGCCTAACGAAAGTCAGAAACTGCTACAGGGACTTTCACAACTAAAATTAAGCGTTGGATCTTGCGTAATTTGTGCAAATTCATACTATCTTGTGAAGATTATTTTAGGACCAAAACTAAACATTACTCCGAATACTGTTATTTTCCTTAGATTTTTATGTGAAAAGGTGTCTGATGTTTACGGCACCTGATGATTGATCTCATTTAACGTTTAATTTTTAATAACTAGCTCATAAGTAAACAATTTGATAATAGTTTTATCTCATACATCATTTTTAATTGTGTGTTTGCCGAATGAAGCATGCCAGAATTTGTTTCTATTTATTCAAATACAAAAAATTATAGAATACTTGATGGTATATCCATTAGGAGGATATAATGATTTTTGGAGCACAAAATGACAAAATAATCGCCAACACTTTTCCAAATAGCGCTAAAGTATGACGTCATATACTGTCCAATGTTTTGGAACGAATCACCAGGAGGGTCTTTGTCTTTGCAATATATTTTTACCCTCTCAGCTGTTGTAAGATCAATACAATCGTTCAAGACCACATTCAAGTTGCATTATTTAAAATTCCCGTGAACTCCCGAACATCCACAAGAGCGGTTGATCGTAGGTACATACTAGTTTGCAGGTTGTATGTGATGACTTGCATTTTACTAAATGTACTTATCTAAACAGCAGCATTTAAGTTAGGTACTGTGTTTACTAGTAATAGAATAAAATAATAAATGATCGTAGAATTAACGTCATCGATGCATAACGCAAACCGGCAAAACACGAGTCAACATGATTGACATCCGTATCTTGCCAGGCCGACACGCTACGCGCAAAGTCTAAAACTTTGATATTGCTTATTTAGTTCCAGCTTGGTGGGGAAATATGAAATTGTTAAGTAAAAGTATTTTAATGTAGTAACAGCTTACAGATATATTCAATTCCGCTGTGAAAATGATCGATCAAAATACAAATTAGGGAGGTTAATAAAAATTCGGGACACTTGGCGTCCCGATCAAGGGTGAATCGGAACGTGTCACCAGACCCCTGAAAATCAGGACGTACAGCGTAAATCGGGGCACTTGGAAACACTAGTTTACGCTATACGTGTAAATTAACACGAACGCGAACGAACGCGAGCGGTGGCGGGTAAAAGTGTCACCATGATATCGTTGGGAAGACCCGGAGCGTACTGAATCGGACGGCATCTGCGCGTGATGATTTATAGTATTTTTAAAATAATCATATAAAATAATTGACTAATTAACACGAGCTAAATTTTTTTAACATTACCTGTATTTTGATAAAATAATTAAAATAGATAAGTTTATATCCAAATAACACAAAAAATGGCATTGAAGTGGACAGTTTTGGTGATCGTATAGAGTTGTTTTATTATTAAATAGAAATATTTTCGTAGTTAGGCTTTGTGTTGTACTAAAAGACTATTATTCCATTATGATAACGCTTAAAATAAAGTATTTTAGCTTATAATAATGATTGTATTCGATCTGATGGATAAGATGCCAAGTCTATGAAGCATATAGTAAGAAATTCAAATTTTTAATGGATTTGCAAAGCAACAATAACTGAAAAAACAGATCTGGAAAGTGAGCCTGCGTAATATTATTGAAAATTATATAGATGATGTAGACGAACATTTGGTGAATTGATGAATTGATATCATCAGGCAAGGAATTCCAGAAAAGTGCAGCCTGAACAGTGAAGGAGTTACCATAGAACCCGGTGATGATAGATAGATAGAGATAGAGATAGATGAGTAGGAATATAAATCATGTTATTAGAGGAAGATCGAAGAACCCTCTCATGACAAGAAGAGAGATATTGGAATCGTTCTTTGAGGTAAAAGGGTGAATATGGATCATTAACAGCAGGGTTAAGCTGCTATTTTACGCTGGTATTCTATGAGAGCATGGACCTTCCCCTGTCGAGTCGACCCATTCATGCTACAACTATACTACAATGTAATTGCATCATGGCTCTTCTTCTTCTTCCGTTGGCGTTACAACCCTTTGTGAGTCTTGGCCTCCTCCACAATCTTCCTCCAGTTGTCACGCTGCCTGGCTACCTTCTTCCAACTTTCCCATCTTCCTGAGATCTTCTTCCACACAGTCACTCCAACGCTTTTTAGGCCTGCCTCTCGGTCTCTTTTGTTGCGGCGTCCACTTTGTCATTATTTTTACGGCTCTAGTGTCCGGCATTCTTTCAAGGTGACCCGCCCACCTCAGTCGCTGCGACTTACAAAACCTGACGATATTCTCGTGCCCGATAAGTGCGTCCAGTTCATGGTTCATGCGTTGACGATAGATACCGTCACGCTCTTTTATGGGACCATAGATTTTTCTCAGCACTTTCCTTTCGAACACGGCAAGATTCAGTTCTTCTCTCTGGGTTAAAGTCCAGGTTTCACAGGGATAAGTCACAATAGGCCTGATGATGGTATAGTAGATGGTGAGTTTCGATTTCACACTAAGCAGCTTAGAACCCAGGAGTTTGGCACACGCGTAATAACATTTGTGCCCAGCAACTATCCGTGCCTTAATCTCTTCGTCAGATCTATTTTGGGAGGTAATCGTTGCTCCTAGATACTTGAAGCTGCTCACGCTTTTTATGGTTTGATTGCCAACATTAACGTTTTGTGGCTGTACAGGTTGTCTAGCTGTTGCAAGGTACTCAGTCTTGGGTGCATTTACACGCAGTCCAAAAGTCGCGGCTTCGGTCTCCAGCATTAGATAGTGGTCAATCATCCTGTTTCTTGACCTGCTGGTAATAACAATATCATCGGCATACGCAGCGAGTTGAGTGGTGTTGTAATTAATCAGACCATTGATGTTCAATTTACGTGTGGCAGCCTCAAGTGCCAAATTGAAGACTATAGACGATAGCGCGTCTCCTTGTTTCACTCCCGAACGGATCTCAAAAGGCTCGGACAGGTCATTCTGTATGGCTACAACTGCTTTAGAGTGCTTTAACGTGGCTTCGACAAGCCTAACCAATTTACTGGGCACACCCAAATGTAGCATGCTGGAGAGTATTTGTGTACGGTTCACACTGTCAAATGCCTGCTTGAAATCCACAAACATATGATGCAAGTTAATGTTGTATTCATACGCCTTTTCCAGTGTTTGCCGCAGGAGGTGAATCTCTTCTACAGTAGAGCGATTAGGTCGGAATCCGCATTGGTACTCTCCCAATATCTCCTCAGCATAACCACAGAGCCTCCTATAAATAACTCCTGACAAAACTTTATAAGCCGCTGAGAGGACTGTAATACCTCTGTAATTGCTACAAATACTCTTATTCCCTTTCTTGAATATCGGTACAATAATACCTGAATTCCACTCCTCGGGTATTCTTTCTTCCTCCCATATAAGAGTAACGAGTCCGTGCATTCTCTCCACGATACCGCTTCCGCCTCTTTTGAGTAGCTCTGAGGTGATAGTATCAATCCCTGGTGCCTTGTTGTTCTTCAGACTACGAATGGCTTGATGGACTTCAAACGACTTCTTCGGCTGCAACG